AAATAAAAAGAAATCAAGAGAAACACTGAAACAAAAGAAATCACAAGAAATAAGAGAAACACTAAAAACGAGATGAATAGGCGCACAAAATAAACCTAAACCTTCCCCGGCAACGGCGCCAATTTGTTGTAAGTATTTTTACCGGAGTAGAATCAAAAGATTCAACACCGGGTCGTATCGCAAGGAAGGTTAGCCGGATTATTAAGCGCGTTTATTCAACACAAGCGAAAGAAATCAAATTCCTAAACATTCTAAGCCAAATAGTTGGATGGGTTTTCAGTTATCAGCTACTGCAAATAATTAAACAAAGCAGAGAAAAATAGTAAGCAAGGTCGAAGAACAATTAAGATAAAAGCGCTAGGGTATCGGGGATCTCGCTTCCGGTTCTCAATGCATTTAGCAAGCAGTGAACTACTCGGCTAAAGGATTCAATAAACTAACTCATCCGGAGACTCATTCTCAATATCTCACGAAACAAGAGAATGAACACAAATAAATCAATCACGAATCAATTAGCACTTAGGCAATACGTTACCGAACAAGCCTAATCTTCACGAGCCTAGATCGAACAATTTATCCCCTTTCGGTTTTTAAATTGGTTAATTAGATTAAGATGGAGATCAAGCATCCAAACCCTAGGTTAAGCACAACTCGAAAAGATGAGCAATTACCAAGCATTAAACGAAATCGAACCGGACCGATAATCCCCTACCCCTAGCTAGTGAATTTAGCTACTCATCTTGCATTCAACATCAACGTATTCAATAATCAAAGCCATCTCAATCGAAAGAAAAACGAAAGTAAAACTTACGATTAATGAATCCAATGTCGAGAACAATCGAAAAACCAAATCCAATAGTCAAAACTCTAAGTTTTCACGCTCAAGATCGATCCTCAAGACAAGAAAGTGAAAAGTATGAGTTCTGGAACGTTTTTCGTACTAGGGAGAACAAAACCTAATATCAAACATAATGAAAATCGATCCCAAATTCTAACTTAAAAAATCTGGAAATCGCGGCCCTCGCGGCCCGCGGAGGATCTCGCGGGCCGCGGCGAAGAAACTTCCGCGGGCCGCGACAGAGTCCGAGGCCGCGACCAACTTCAGGCTGGAGGAGGGACTCTGCGGCTCTTTGTTCGCCGCGGCCGCGGCGAAGGACAGGTCGCGGGCCGCGGCGACTAAAACTGGGCACTTGAAGGATTTGCTCACCGCGGTCGCGGGAACAACGTCGCGGGCCGCGGTGAACGATTTCGGTGATCCGGCTGTGATTTCCGGCTCGAGTCTGCGCATCTGGGCTCGGAATTAGATTCCGTCTTTCCCCACTCGACCCCAACTCATCCATCTATGTAGTAGCCCACGCTTGGTTATTTCTCGAACGATTCAACCTGCACACCACCAACAAGAAACGAACGGAGAAACCGGAGAAAAGAAACAAAAAGACCAAAAACGAACAAAACAAGGGAAATGAAAGACGAGACTCAAAATGGACCAAAAGCCAAAAAGAAATACCTAGAGTGGGGAGAAATAAACATAAAATAAACACGAAAACACTAACAAAAATGGAACGAACACTCCAACTGCCCGTCGTCATGTGCTTAAATTAGTACACTACTTATCCCATGAGCCAAATATATCCACGGAAGAAGCCTTCCGTCTCGACTGGGACCTTTCCGTGTCCCGATCCTCCTACCTCGCTGCCAGCAGCGACATCATCAGAACAAAATTAAATATCGAGGCCTCGCCTTTATTCCGCACGAACTAGTTTTCACACTCTAGTGCGTGTCGGCACTGGTCCTGACCCACCCTTTCTGTCAATTGTAGTCGACTCGGGCTCTAGCCTGACGTGGGTCCACTGGGGACCGTTCAACTCCGATAAGTTCTTCAACCCGAGCGCCTCCCCCACCTTCCGCAAGGAGATCATGTGCAATAACCCGACCAGCGCATGTCCTAATCTCCGCGAGGTCAAGTGCCGAGACAATGAGTGTTGGTACATAATCAAATACGCCAGCGGAACCAGCAGTGGTTACCTCGCCCGGGATAGATTCTAGTTCCATTCCCTCGACAACCAAGGACGATGACGAGCCCTTCTCCCTCGAGAACATAACCTTCGGCTGCGACATTAACGGGAGTCTGACAAATATCTCCGGCATCCTCGGCCTCATCAACGACCGTGACTCCCTCGTCTCTCAAATGGGGTACTCACGCTTCGCCTACTGCCTCGGGAACATCAACGAACCCGCGTACCCTTACAACATATTAATCGGCCACGGTGATGAGATCGGACTCCACGCTCAAACACCCCTCTACATCGACTACCATTACTATATCCGCTCGAGGATGTCGCGGTTGGAGGTCGACCCGTCGATGGATTTGGTTCCCACATGTTG